AAACTGAGGCCTATTTTGAAGCAAAGGACAAATCGTACTACAAAAATGGTATCGAAAAGTTGGAGGATCGCTATAATCAGTGTATCACCCTTGAAGGGAATTATGTTGAATAAAAAAAACGAATTTTGCAAAAAAAATGTGTTTTACTATTTTAGGCCGGGGACTTTTCAATTGACCTGTTATTTACAACCCCATTTTGTTTCTGATCTTTTACACATTTTAATAAGATAAAGAAATGGAATCCACAGGTTCTTTAGCTTTAGGTTCATCTAATAAGTAAAGTTTTTCGAATCGTTTTCTAGAATTTTGGATTATACGCATTTATTAGCGCACGACAATATCTTGTAGTTTTCAGTTTTACACAGCTGGCGTATATCAATTCGATATTGTTTTGCGGGCTGTTTTGTCGTAATTCATAGAAATTAAGCAGTTTTTGGCTAAAGGTATGATAAGTGGTGATTTGGCAGGTGCTCATATCAATTTGGAACTTCAAAATTCCATGGACTATGACAAAAAACCCGGAAAACAATATCGACCCAATATTTATCCATTTCCAAGGAGTTTAGAATTTTTTACGCTCTCTTCAGTTAAGGAATTAGAAGGCATTCATGAAATGTCTCTTTGTCAGCTTTGTAAGCTTCTAATACCTTCAATGGTTAATGTGACAACTTTCATTTATCATTTTATATAAAGTTTGATCGGTGATACTAGCAAATCCTTTAACGGCAAACATGTATTTTGCATTTTACAAATAGAAAATACGTTTGGAAAAGTATTTTAAATAAAATACGCGATGCTTTTCTCAAAAAAGTATTTAAATGTAAGATAAAAGTAGGTAATTTTTATTTTATATTTCCGTTTAAATACAACTGTTTCAAATAAATCATATTTCTGAATTAATAACATATAATAAAAAGGATCTTGCTTAACAAGTGCAAACTACTAATTTCACAAAAAAAAAATAAGAAACAGAAGAGACCATAGATGCCTAAACAATTTCAGTTAATATGTTTCAACCTTGATTAGGTTTTAACAATTGAAAAGTTATTTAAAAAATGTATTTGAAAATGGGAGGCATAAGATGTCAAGGACTGTTATTTTAGTTTTTCTCCGTATTTGACCAATTCTTTGTTCAGCTACGTGAACTGAAAAACGCTTGAGTTTGTCAGAAAAGTTAATATCGAAATCGTTTTAAGCAGAAAACATGGAAAATTTTTTGACTCTTTCTACCTGGGTAAAGATATTTGCTATTTTTAGATCTTTTATTGTCGTCACGTTCACACCTAGAAAATTAAATGTTAGAGCGTTTGATAAGTCATTACTCTGAAGTTATTAAGTTTCGGACATCTTTGTAAATCAACTACCTCTCTGCTTCTACTTGACCTATTTTCTCATAGTGTAAAGATCTTCTACCCTTATGAAGGAAAAAGCTACGATACGTATTATTTTTCTTTTGTTTATCTGTCCTAACTGAACTGGTAGAGTGACAGGCTATAAAAAACAGGTGATTAAACATAGGTAGATGGCCTCCTTCATATGAAAGATAAAAAAATTGTGGACAGGTTTGAGATGAATTCCTCTTTCTGCATACGGTAGATTAGTGTGTTATTGCTTAAATTTTTTTCAAATATTTGCATGAATTTATCGTTGATCCGGCCGTTTCTGTTAATAATAAAAGGGTTCTCGGAATATAGAATGCTCACAAGTGTTTGGAACTACCATGAGTACATAAACAAATATTGAAAAAGGATTTGGATTGGAAGTTCGAAATGGGAAAAAATAAATGTGACATATGTGAGAAGGTCGACAAAAAGTTCTTATTAAATCTGAAATTCAATCATCTTGACTTCAGAATCGATACGCAGTTAATGCTTTTTTCCTGAGACATGTCAAAAATTGAGAGGAACGTTAGCAACAAGAAGCTTTAGAAACCAAATGTATAGACAACGAGTAAATGTGAAAACAAAATGCATGAGTTTAAATTTGAGGAAATGTCTATATATTGGTATCGAACGCCATAAAATTTCCATGTGTGGGCATTGTCTTGCCATCTAGGGAGTATTTACTGCAACGAAAGTATTCCATGGCGCGCTGAAGGGACATTATTAATAAATTAAACTATGAACTTGATAAATGCTCTTAAAATTAAATTATTAAGCTTTATAATAAAAGTGACACCTATATGGAGTTACTTTTACTACGTCTACATGTCACATGCATTTTGTTTGACGCACTATTCGCCTTAAAAAGTTGAAATTTGGCGCCTTCAAAAAAATTACCAACTCAATTAAATAAATAAAGCACAAAAATATGAAAGTTGGAATGATTTTTCCTAGGTGAATTATAGGCAAAAAGTTTCTGAATATAATCATAGTGGATATGAATGAAATGAAAAGCGTTTACGCCTGCCATTCTAAACTAAAATTAAAATACTTTTTAAAGAAAAAGGCATTACTTACTCAACAGTTTTCTTTTTAAACATATTTCAAGAGTCCTTAAACGCAGATTTTGTTACACCAAAATCCATATGATACTCTTTTAAATATTTTGTTATGTGGTGCAATTGTGCGTTTGACTTACCACACACACATTACATCACATACACACACATGCGCACTCATACATATACACACACACATACACACACAACTAAAACCATTTACTTCAGTTTTCGCTTCTGCTTCTGTTATGACACTGTACTCGATGAAGTACAGTGAAGTGCCTGCAGGGCATGTCTGGGAAGTGACCCTACCGCATACAATATCTTTATACTGTGTCTACACTATAGAATCTAATTCCTACATTCTGCTATAATAATATTTTTTTTACATAGGCAGGTACATCAACAACTAACCGTCTAGTTTTAAGCGAGTACCTATTTGAAACTGGGAATATTAACCACTGTTAAGTTATTTCAGTTTGTTGTGTTTCTTTTCTAAAGGATTTTTTTTTCTTTGATACAAAAATGTATCTATATTAAAGTAGGTACCTTCGTTCTTTTCTCGATGCTATTGTCATGGTTCAGTTCAAATAGCATATTAAGTTTCTGGAAGCTAGAAAAGCAAACATCTTGTTTGGCAGATAGATAAGTCTTGTTTACTAAAGTTAAGAGATATTTCCAAAGACTATTGGCATTATCCAATTAAATGTGACGTGGATAATACACACATTTGGTGATAAATAAGATACTTTCTAAAAATATAGCATTAATCAATAAGAGTATTATATGCTTTGTCATTGGCCGGAGACATTGTCCCTCATGAACTTTAATGGAATTATTCTAGCGCTATTTATATCGGGCAATCTAGTAGCACGATCTTAAACTCCATTTATTTAAACCATTTGCTAAATATGAAAAGAGTCATTACTCATAGATTATGAAGAAGAGGGGACGACTCGTGTTTATACAAAAGTGAAACCAGCCAGTTTTAAACAGCATCCACATTTTTTTAAATTCATAACAAAAAGAGTGCGTATATAGGATTTTTAGATTAGGAAAAGCTTTTGACAATGTTAAATATACTCAAAAATGTAGGGATGAGTTACCAAGATAGAGGAGTGATACTTATAGTTTGTATAAAGAGCAACAGGAATTTATAAAGTTGGGGCTGCAACGTAGAGAAGTAAATATTAGGAAGGAAGTCAGACAGGGATGCACACTGTCACAGCTACCTACTTTTTAATCTATACATCGAAGACGCGATAAACATCATTAAAGACAGTACAACTGTAGGGATAGATATACAAGGGCAAAAGATTAGTATGCTTAGATTTGCAGATGATATAGCAGTATTAGCATCTAGCATGATGAATGATGAGGATACTGTGGATAGAGATTAGAAATAAAGAAGTATTAGAAAGAATAAGGAGAACAGAGGACTCTATGGAAGTCAATAAGAAATAGACGAGATAGGTTAGTAGGACACCTTCTCGGGCATGAAGGTTTAGTCAGAGGTATATTACAGGCAGAAACGGAAGTTAGGAGGGCTAGAGGTCAGGGGCGCAACAACGTTACAGTTTGTATTCCCATCATAATGCCATAAATGACTAGAAAAAAAAGGCCACCAATGTATTGAATTAAAATACTTGAAAAGATCAAGTTCATTTACGAGCTTGAACTATTTGAATCGAACTCTCAGGTTGGGTTATTATCTGAATCGACTGGAATTGACTGGGTGCCCAACCCAATCGAGTGGGTGCCCGGGCATCCGTGGACCCCCCCCCTTGTTGCGCCCCTGGTCGAAGGAGACCTAGATTAGACTACTGTTCGCAAACAAGTAGTTAAGGATATGGGTTGTTCTAGTTTTAGGCAAATGCGAAGATTAGCTCAGGATAGGAAGGAATGGAGGTGCATGTCCAACCGGTCTTAAGACTGACAACCTTATGATGATGATGAACAAAAAGCGCACTGTATCAAAAAGATATATTTTTGAACGCCATTAAAAACTCATTGCACTTTTACGTTAATAAATATTTTAACCTCCCTGTCTATTGCTTTAAAACACTTTTTTCTACATCTGTACACAATTTGTGGTTGGCGCTTCACAATTTTCGTAAGAGTGAGTACCCCTTAATAAAAATATTTCGTATACCCACTTTAAAAAAAATAAAAATAAGGCAAGGCAAGAAGAAACTGCAAAACCAATTCTATATTTGCTAATCATTAATAAAAAATTACACTTTAAGTGTAAAACTGTTGCTATGAAAGTCCTATTTGCGTTTGCAAATTTGATTTTGCTTTTTTTTTCCAGGTCGCCTACCTCCGCATCTACTTCAAACTTCGTTATAGGTTTGCTGGCGGCTACATCGCCAACGATGACAACAGTACTCGTCGTCAATTACGTGGCCGCAAATTACAACGAACTAACATTCTACTGGTATCAATTGCTGTGATATTTTGCATAAGTTGGCTCCCCTTGAACATGTTCAACCTAATTGCAGACCTTTGGGATTCAGTGGATTTCACGTCCCAAGAAATGATGATAGTGTATGCTGTCTGTCATATGATGGGCATGTCTTCTGCCTGCTCCAACCCGGTACTTTACGGTTGGTTGAACGATAATTTTTGGAAAGAATTTAAAGACATCTTATGCTTTCCCAAAACGCGTATAGAGAAAGCAGGCGAACGTAAAACGAGTATAAAGAGAATTCAAAAGATTCCCGACAACAAGAAGTGCCTCTTAAGTGTCCCAATGGAGAACCATCAAGGTACCATCACTAATGCCACGGAAATGTCTGTGTTAAAGTGCTAGCCCTTGTGATTCGGTTAGTTCCTACTTTTGTTACCAAAAACTATATCAATTGAAGACATTTACGACAATTAATGTAAAATTGAAAGAGTTGTTGTATAAGCAAAAGACTGTTTTAGACTGACGTCTGAGGATATTCTGAATAGCTACAAGAAAACATACTTGATCTGTCTATTACCTACTTATTGAAATTCAAATACAATTCAGGAACATCATTTGTCACTTATGCTTCTTTTGAGCAGTTTTTCGTCGATTTTATTTTCAATGCATGTTATTTCATACCTTTTGATTTGTCAGAAACGACTTTTGACCATTTATAGAAAACTTTAAAATATTCACACTCAATTGCTGAAGGCTCATACTAGATATTTGAATAATTGTATTGTGACATATATTCACACTTCGATGTCTGCGAGCCCTGCTCGAAAAATATGTTTTATGTTCACGAGTTCAACGAAGAATCCTTCATTGAGTTAAAGAAGACCGAGAGGAATCGTTACGCGAAGTTATAGTAACATTATTGCGAGATTATTATCTTTCATTTTACCTAATATTATAACGGCCAAATAATGTGAACCGTATGCTATGTATAGTAAGAGACTTGTTCATGATTTTCGTTTACTTTACATGACTACACTGAAAACGAATGGGATCCGTCAACTGGGAGGAGCCTAAACAACATGGCGCTAATGAGCGTTCGTTTTTCATAGGTCATTTACCGAATCGGGTTGCTGTGTGGATTTTTTACTTTTCACAATCCCCCGCAAAAGGAATTTTATTTGAAGTCGAACGCGTTTCATATATTGGTCATGATATCAAAACTTGAAGAACAAATCGGAATGTGAACCATCAGATATGAATTTTAATATTTATCAAATCCCACAGACGGCGCGGTAAATGCCATCTGTAGTACAATGTTACTTTTAGTGGAATTCAATTGCTCAACAAGGTCCATTTAAATAGATGTATTTCTACTTGCTGAACTGAATCCACGACTTAACTCGTTGTACATGATATGCATCTTACCAGAATCGAACAAAGAAATTCGAAGAGAATTCTGTCGAAACTGTCGATCTTGTTGGATCTCATCAGCGCGTAGCAGAAAATTTCTTATCTACTGTTTACAAAGGTTATAGGTAAAAACTAATTCATATGATAGAAGTGGTGAGATGGAGCTTTCCATTGCCTTAAGCTTTCGTTTGTTACCCAAAACTAATTTGTGGGGGTTATCATAAATAAATAAAGTCCCATCGGTTAGATTGAGTTATGTAATGTTTAGGGTTAAGTTAAGGTTGAGTTTCGGAGGGATAATGCTAATTTTATCAATGATGTGTAGGTATGGTATGCAAAACCGTACACAGGCAAACGTTACAAACACGCTATTACATCATAGGTAGATTTCTAACTTGAAAATAGTCACAGATATGAACAAATTTTCATTCCGAAATTTCATTTCTTTGATACCTACTATTTTTGACTCTTTTTGTCTAATTTTTCAAATTTAACTTTTATGTACCTATAAAAAAAATTAGTTTTTACCGGGGAAAGTAATTGAACATCAAGATCCTTGTTGGAGCTTGTATTATAGCCTTGTTATCAACTTTTTATTCTCTTTATTAGGGAGAAAAAACTGCGGATCCCATTATCAAAAACTATTCATTTATTTTAGGTGTTTGATAATTGGAATAAACAATTTTGCCATAGTAGTGTTTGTCCTCGTTCACGTTCTGCCACTAAGATCTTTTTGACGATCAAAATGTACAAACTGTATCTACGATGTACCTATATAAAATCTATCAATAATATTACAGGTGACACATATAAAGACGATACGATACAGACTCTACCCTTAGACTTTTGCTCCGCGTATGCGATTGCTCTGTTAATAAAATTTAATACGTTTAACAGGATTTCTTGGATGCGTGTAACGAAATAGGTAGGTACAGAAATTGTTAAATGTTAGATGACAGGAAAACACACAGTATCACTTTAAAAATAAATCTTACGTAGGTGTAAAAATCCTTACACAATTGTAAATTCATTTTGATTTATTTTATTATTGAATTCCAACATATTATCAAATAATCTCATGAATAATGTGTAATAAGAGTTGGTAATATTGTTTGTGAACTAAGTACTTACGATATGGNAAGGTGTTGGAGGAGTACCTCATGAGTCTTTCTGATGGTTCCTCCATGGCAACAACAATGCTATTATATATAGGATGAGGTTTCTAACATGTCAATTTTTAACAGCCGCCTTTGGTTTTTCGGAGCATGTAGTGCGGCATCAAACATAGGCATTGCTGATATTAATGCATAGTTTAAATATTAACAATTTTTAGTATGTACTTAGTTTGCCGCTAGTTTTAGACTCATAATTCATTAAAGCAATGAAAGTTAACAGGATGGTTGCTTCAAAATAGCCGATATTTAGTTTTATGTTTATTTTCAATTTGGTTTAAATCATCATCATCATCATAAGGTCGTCAGTCCTAAAACTGGTTCGACACGCACCTCCTAAAATATTAAATTCTATAAAGTAAATCAATTTAGAAAACCTGAGCAGTATCATTACAGAAGACACAAAGTCTACAACTGCTATCAAAGAGAGAATAATATCCCAAAGCCAAACATTTAAAGGAAACGATCGCTTTTTATATAATAATAAATAAATAAAGTTGGTTATCAAGAAAAACTAATTAATATCTACATTTGGGACATAGCCAGGCTAAAGAGGACCGCTAATCGAAGATGGAAAAAGTATTAGATGGAAATATACTGCACAGAACAAATCATACAGAAAACAGAAGAGGGAACATCTTAGGACACCAATAAATAGAGGCCAGATTACCGAGAAGGTAGTACATAGGTCAACTAAAGGAATAGGCAAGAGTTGAAAGAAAATTATAGAAGCAGATGACAACTGTCACATCGACGAGAATTTGGCACTTTGTTGTAATAAATTTGTTAATGATTTTTCATTATTTTTCTTTTCAATTGTATAATCTTTAGCATCGTCTTATTTAACTGTAAAAGTAACGCAATAATCTAAATTTCAATGTACGCATTTCCCTACACAGTTTTTTAAAGGAGCGATTGAGCTAATTGTTTAGTCATTTATCAGTAGTTCAGAACATATTTAGTTCAGGTTGAATTTGATTACAACCAGTATCGTATCATCTTTATCTTTATCATCGGTTGAGCAACATTAATTATAACGCAAGACGAAACTTCTACGAACCTTTTAGATTTATTGAGATTATATAAATGATGATTCATAATAAGGCCTTTGTCTCTTTAAAGAACATGGGTGTTGAAGCAGGATAGTCGGTGTTTAACTTACGTATACCAGCTTCTGCTGTACGCCAACTTAATATTGTACAGCTAGTTGATGATTTTTCCTTTAATAAAATTTACACCCTTTTTTTTACTAGTTTTANATTTTATTTTCAATGCATGTTATTTCATACCTTTTGATTTGTCAGAAACGACTTTTGACCATTTATAGAAAACTTTAAAATATTCACACTCAATTGCTGAAGGCTCATACTAGATATTTGAATAATTGTATTGTGACATATATTCACACTTCGATGTCTGCGAGCCCTGCTCGAAAAATATGTTTTATGTTCACGAGTTCAACGAAGAATCCTTCATTGAGTTAAAGAAGACCGAGAGGAATCGTTACGCGAAGTTATAGTAACATTATTGCGAGATTATTATCTTTCATTTTACCTAATATTATAACGGCCAAATAATGTGAACCGTATGCTATGTATAGTAAGAGACTTGTTCATGATTTTCGTTTACTTTACATGACTACACTGAAAACGAATGGGATCCGTCAACTGGGAGGAGCCTAAACAACATGGCGCTAATGAGCGTTCGTTTTTCATAGGTCATTTACCGAATCGGGTTGCTGTGTGGATTTTTTACTTTTCACAATCCCCCGCAAAAGGAATTTTATTTGAAGTCGAACGCGTTTCATATATTGGTCATGATATCAAAACTTGAAGAACAAATCGGAATGTGAACCATCAGATATGAATTTTAATATTTATCAAATCCCACAGACGGCGCGGTAAATGCCATCTGTAGTACAATGTTACTTTTAGTGGAATTCAATTGCTCAACAAGGTCCATTTAAATAGATGTATTTCTACTTGCTGAACTGAATCCACGACTTAACTCGTTGTACATGATATGCATCTTACCAGAATCGAACAAAGAAATTCGAAGAGAATTCTGTCGAAACTGTCGATCTTGTTGGATCTCATCAGCGCGTAGCAGAAAATTTCTTATCTACTGTTTACAAAGGTTATAGGTAAAAACTAATTCATATGATAGAAGTGGTGAGATGGAGCTTTCCATTGCCTTAAGCTTTCGTTTGTTACCCAAAACTAATTTGTGGGGGTTATCATAAATAAATAAAGTCCCATCGGTTAGATTGAGTTATGTAATGTTTAGGGTTAAGTTAAGGTTGAGTTTCGGAGGGATAATGCTAATTTTATCAATGATGTGTAGGTATGGTATGCAAAACCGTACACAGGCAAACGTTACAAACACGCTATTACATCATAGGTAGATTTCTAACTTGAAAATAGTCACAGATATGAACAAATTTTCATTCCGAAATTTCATTTCTTTGATACCTACTATTTTTGACTCTTTTTGTCTAATTTTTCAAATTTAACTTTTATGTACCTATAAAAAAAATTAGTTTTTACCGGGGAAAGTAATTGAACATCAAGATCCTTGTTGGAGCTTGTATTATAGCCTTGTTATCAACTTTTTATTCTCTTTATTAGGGAGAAAAAACTGCGGATCCCATTATCAAAAACTATTCATTTATTTTAGGTGTTTGATAATTGGAATAAACAATTTTGCCATAGTAGTGTTTGTCCTCGTTCACGTTCTGCCACTAAGATCTTTTTGACGATCAAAATGTACAAACTGTATCTACGATGTACCTATATAAAATCTATCAATAATATTACAGGTGACACATATAAAGACGATACGATACAGACTCTACCCTTAGACTTTTGCTCCGCGTATGCGATTGCTCTGTTAATAAAATTTAATACGTTTAACAGGATTTCTTGGATGCGTGTAACGAAATAGGTAGGTACAGAAATTGTTAAATGTTAGATGACAGGAAAACACACAGTATCACTTTAAAAATAAATCTTACGTAGGTGTAAAAATCCTTACACAATTGTAAATTCATTTTGATTTATTTTATTATTGAATTCCAACATATTATCAAATAATCTCATGAATAATGTGTAATAAGAGTTGGTAATATTGTTTGTGAACTAAGTACTTACTAAGAAATTTATTGCAACGATTAATGCAAACTAACTTGAAGTGACATTGACGACCAACCGTATTTTCAGAATAAAGGGACAAATCCAACAAGAAAAAACATCAATCACCTTAGACATTTCCTAGTTTGCACTTTGCATGCTTATACAAATATGACTGTTTAATTGTAAATAATATTAATTAAGAAAAAAAAGTAGTGAAAGTAGTGTATGTAAGGAAATGTTTGTTTGATGACTGCAATGTAACGTTGAAGAGTCCACAACGCTACACAGCAGGCGATTGTTGTCAAGACGAAAACTTCGTGGCCCTAAAACGGACTTGTAATTATATTTTATTAGGACTGATGGGGGTGGCACATTTTGAGCTATTAGGTTAATATTCGTTAAACGTACATATGTTTTGTATATCTATCTTTACGACACTCCAAAAATAATTTCAGTTGGATGTAGGTGTATAATCTACGAATCATTTAAGTATAGGCACTTAGTTAACATAAAAATGAAACAAAGAAGATTCAGAATAATAACAATTGAAAACACAAAGCTTGTATTAAAACTTTTTTTACTTAGTATTAAGTATAACTTTAACTTCTACAACTTTTTTTCGTCAGTAGTTACGTGTTTACGTGATCGCGAGCACACGTCATATTCCAATTTATGTTTTGTACTAGTACTCGAAAAGTATTAAATATATTTACCTTTAAGTTAATGTATGCAGAAGAATCGAAAATTATAGGTAATTTAATAAGAATTAAAGTAGACATTTAGTACTAGCACTGATTGTATATGTTTAATATAAAATTTTTACTGAATAAAACTTAAAAATGTTTTGTAACGTTAACGTGACCAATAAATGTATTCATGTATTAGTCGTTTTTATTAACGTTTCATAAAAAATAACCTTACAAGGGAGCTTAATCGATATTATAAGGTAAGTACTTACAAGTAGGTAAATAAGATTATAAACAATAAAATTTGGAATTGAATTATGGTTTCTTTATACATATTCATACTACGTCACCCGTAAGCAGGGAGGGGAGTTTTCTAAAATACCACGCTTAGTTAAAGGGGCGAGGGGCTCAGGTTTTCGTTACGTAGGGAAATCTCACGTTTAAATACGTGGTAAGTATAAATAATATTCTACATGTGTAAAATTTGCAACTTCATAGGAAAAGACGAACCTCGCACCCCAAACTGTTCAAACTGAAATAATAAAAACAATTGCGCTCCTCCTACAAAAAGCTCACTCCAATGCCGCTCCACACGCTTAAAAACTAATTTATTGTTTTAAAAGTATAAGTATTCTTTAAAAAACTGCGGAATGTATGAAAGTTTTGTGAAAAAAGACGAATTAAGATATTAAATCGTGTGAAATTTATTACATACTGAGCGCGAATGGCGTATATTGTTGTAAAACCTATCCATACTTTAGATTCAATAATAATGATAATGTCATTTATGCTGGCTTAGCTTTTTTGTTTTATATCTAAATTTTTAGATTTACCTCTTCTTTTAATAGTTTAATTTCAAACTCTTTTATAGGTGATAGATCGGCACATCTTCAAGATAAAAAATTGATTATGTGGATGTTAGTTATGTATATGATTTTTTTTTAGTATTTTTCTCTGACTAGTTCTTTATTCTTGACAAGGTGTCCAACCAACTTATATCGCGTATTTTTTATTGACTTCCATAGAGTCCTCTGTTCTCCTATTCCTTCTAATCCTACTTCATTTATAACTTTCTCTGTCAAAGGTATCCCCATCATTCGCCTGTAACAACACATTTCGAACGCTTC